CTGCCCCACTGCAACCGCCCCGCTGCACCCTTCCTGCTGCAACTGCCCCACTGCAACCGCCCCGCTGCACCCTTCCTGCTGCAACTGCCCCATTGCAACCGCCCCGCTGCACCCTTCCTGCTGCAACTGCCCCATTGCAATCGCCCCGCTGCACCCTTCCTGCTGCAACTGCCCCACTGCAACCACCCCACTGCACCCTTCCTGCTGCAACTGCCCCACTGCAACTGCCCCGCTGCATCGTTCCCGCTGCAACCGGCCCACTGCATCCTGCCTGCTGCAGATGAACCCCTTTCCCAGCAGATGAACCCCTTTCCTGACGGGCTGAACTGCTGCACGGAGGAGGCTCCGCACAGCACCCGCTGCAGCCCACGTCCCCGCAGGGAAGGGGAGCGCAGGCAGCGGAGCGATCGGAGGCGTCGCCGCCGGGGCCGCTCGGGAAGCCCTGGCTCCCGCAGGGCCCTCTCCCTGCTTCCCTCCCAGGGAATTTCCAGTCCCACAGGCCAGCGGGGCGAGCCCAGGGCCAGCCCGGGAAATGCCGGGGAGCGACGCTCCGCTCGCTCGGGAAAGCTCTGCTCCACAGGCGGTTTCCCGGAGCGGCTCTTGGCGGAGCCGAAGCTGCTCCTGCACTAAATGCACTGGCAGAGCAGCCCCCGGCCGGCAGCACCTCCCTGCGGAGCGCGTGTTGCAAAGCGGGACCGCAGGAGCGAGCACGAGCGCAGGGAGCCGCGGGAAGGGCCACCTGGCTCTTTCCAGCCTTCTGCTTCCGTGGCTCCCGCCGGCCGCAGCTTCCCGCGGCGCAGAGCCCTGGGCTTCCCGGGGGAACGGGGGCTCCGGGGCGGCGCGAGGCCGCTCTGCAACGTCATGCGCTGCATCCTGCGGTTCTGTCCTGCAGTTCCGTGGAGCCCGCGCCGCGGGCCGGTCCCCTCCCCGCCAAGCGAACAGGCGGCAAGAGCCATGGCAGCCTCCACAGCGGCGCTCCCGCCGCGCTCCCTCTTCCCGCTCCGCTTAGCCGGCCGCCCCGGGCACGCGCACAGCGAACACCCTGGATCTGTTTCAGTGTGCAGCCTCATTGGCGGGTGGCAGCTCGCCCAGCCGTGCCCGCTGCCATCCGATCACCGGGGCCACAGCAGGAAGGTCCAGAGGGATCTACCCAGGTATGGCCATGGATAACGCTCCCGGGAAAGACACAATCCCAGTGTAAAACATGCAGGGCACCGGGTGCTTCCATGTCCCTGGCCATCGCTGGCCTCACCTTACCCCTGTGACGGGTTCAGGAGCTTCTCCTCAAGCCCTGTGCTCAAACTGGCTCCTGTCCAGCCCAACCCTCGTGTGTGCGGTTGAACTGGGAGCATGTGATGGCCTGGAAGTGCCTGTGGGCTCAGTGCTAAGAACACACTCCCCCAGCGTGCCGCGACGAGCCTCAGTGCCCTAGTGCCCCTGGGCATGCTTGCATGCAGCACCATCCCCAGCATATGCATGCTTGCAAATGGGCATGCACGCTTGCAAGGCCCTCCTCAGGGCAGGCACGCTTGCAAAGGGGCGGGTAGGACTGCAGGATCCTCCCCAGGCATGCATGCTTGCAAGGCCCTCCCTGCCATATGCATGCTTGCAAATGGCATGCGCTCTAGCAGCAACCTCCCCAGTGAATGCGTGCTTGCAAAGGGGCTTGCAGGCCCCTCTCCAGGGCATGCACATTGCAAAGGGGCAGAGCATGCACACTTGCAAGGGACATGCACGATTGAAGGATCCTCCCCAGGCCTCCATGCTTGCAGGGCCCTCCCTGGCATGCGCACGCTTGCAAAGGGGCATGCATTTCCAGCAGCAACCTCCCCAGAGCACGCATGCTTGCAAAGGGGCATGCAGGCTCCTCCCCAGGGCGTGCACGCTTGCAAGACACTGTGTGGGGCACACGGGCTTGCAAGGGGCATGCAGGACCTTCCCTGGTATATGCACAGTTGCAAAGGGGCATGCACGCTAGCAGCACCCTCCCCAGGGCATGCACGCTTGCAAAAGGGGCACACATGCCGGCAGGATCCCCCCCAGGGCACAATGCACGCGGGCCGTGCCGCAGGGCGCAGAGCCTTGCCAGGGGCACGCGAGCCGGCACGTTTGGGGAGGTGGGCACAGCGAGTCGGGGTGCTGCCCGCAGCCCCCTGCAAGCCCCTGTGCTCAGTGCTCCGTGCTGCTTATTCACGGAGCCTGGGCACGCAGAGCCCGGCGGGTCCAGCGCCCACTCCTGCGCCCGGGCATGGGAAAGGGGCAGGGAACATCCCCTCGGGAAAGGGGCAGGGAACATCCCCTGGTCGGCGGGGGGCAGCGGCCGGGGCAGGGCGGGCGCCTCTTCCCTCGCCCACACAGAGGCAAACGGTGCAAAGCAAAATGTCCTCTGCCTCGCATCTCCACCGCGCGCTGTGCCCTTCACTGGCGCGCCGGGGACAAACCGGGCAGGGGGCAGTGACAGCACCACCCCCCCCGCAGCCTGTCCCCTTCCCCACGCAGACCCTGAGCGGCCGCAGCGGAG